ATTACTTTAGTCAGACTCAAGTTATTTTTGTGACCATTGTTGTTGTTTTTTTCATTTATCGAGAGGTACCAACATGTGTCCACTTGTGTAAAATCTATTGAGGTCTGTGGTTGCAAGGTGGAAAAATTCAGGAGGGTATTATTACTTGTGAAAGACACAGGATATTTATCCGTAGGACACTATTGAATGATGAGTTATCAGTATAGTACTGCATTGTGTCCAAGTCTGCCTGTCTTCTTCAGGCTTACATAAATCAGGAAGCAAAAGCGATTGCAATGTCAGATTAGATATTCAATTGGTTGAACCCTCAGTTATATACATGATGGGAGGAAAAGGTTCAGTGTTCAGATTTGATCAGGGTGGAAATGAAGCATCATATCTATTCTGTGCAGAGTTATGACAGACTGACTCCTGACTCTGGCTTTTAGTGTGAGTGCACAGCAGAGCCTTTTTCTGGAGGTCTTAAGCTTGGTATAACATCGCCATCTGCTGGAAGGATTTTAAAGGTCTTACAGAGATACATATAAAAGGCTTTTTTTCCCTTTAGGTTCATTCTAAAGGCCTGAAGTTGGGCATTTATTCAGATGTTGGAGATAAAACCTGTGCTGGATATCCAGGCAGTCTGGGTTACTATGAGACTGATGCTCAGACATTTGCAGACTGGGGTGTGGACCTGCTTAAGTTCGATGGCTGTAACATGAAGTGGACCTCACTCGGAGAAGGTAGGAATTCATTTTAAGATTGACTTCATTGCTTATGTAAACAAATAACTGCAGACAAAGCGGGTTGCTGTTTTTGTACAATAGTTTTGCAATATTTTATTACTAGAACTTGAAGTGATAAGCTTATGTTACTAAACAGGTTTCATCATCTCAAACAGCACTTTTAGTCTCTTATACTGCATTGACTATTAGCTATTAACTATTCCAGCAGAAGTGAATTTTCCCTTTATGGAAGAGGGCAATAAATTGGAAATCATAAAATTAAATCAGTCTTCCAGTTTATAGTTATGCTTTTGGTTCAGTAAATTAAAATCCACACAAAATGCAGCAGAGTATATTCTGTGAAAATGTTTTCTGGGTTTGACCACCTTTGTAGATGCTGGAAACCTGCTAATTGATTCACTGTATTAGTTAATTGATGGTTTTACTGGTTCAGGTTACATCAACATGTCCAAAGCTCTGAACAAAACTGGAAAAAGTATCCTGTACTCCTGTGAGTGGCCTTTGTACGAGTGGCCTTTTCAAAAGGTGAGGAATGTATTAATCCTATATTTCCTTATGGAGGTACTTTAAGAATAATCAAAAGATTAGTTTTTCCCCCTGCGCTTGCAGCCAAACTACACCGCTATCCGTGAGACTTGCAACCATTGGCGCAATTTCAATGATGTGTTTGACTCGTGGAGCTCAGTCAAGTCCATCATGGAGTGGACTGCTTCCCATCAGGACATAATTGTCCCATCAGCTGGGCCTGGAGGCTGGAATGACCCAGATATGGTACCGTCCTCTACAGATGTTTGAATTTAAATCCAATTATTTAAATTATATTTAAATAAGCTGATTTAAAAGAAATTTTCCAGATAAACTGCATCTTAAATGACCTTTTCATCTTAGTTTAATATACCAGAGACTATAGATTTTGATGTGCATATTTAACACTCATTATTTCTCTAGCTCGTAATTGGGAACTTTGGTCTGAGTCACAGCCAGCAGGAGTCTCAAATGGCCCTATGGGCCATCATGGCCGCTCCCCTGTTCATGTCTAATGATCTACGGGACATTTGTCCTCGCTCCAAGAAGCTGCTGCAGAACAGGTGGATCATAGACATAAACCAGGACCCGCTAGGCAAGCAGGGGTACCGAACTGCCAAGGTGGGTGTAAATAATGGGATGCATGAAAACTGCAATGCTTTATTTTGACTACATGTGATTCATTTATTAAATCTGTGATGTTCTGAAATCTAATAAATGTGGGTTGTTTTACAGGGGAACAGTTTTGAAGTTTGGGAGAGACCCCTTTCCAAGAACCGCCTGGCCATTGCAGTGCTGAACCAGCAGGAGATTGGAGGGCCGAGGGGGTTTGCCATCAGAGACGTCCCTGGCTGGAAGTACTGTGACCCTCAGTGCAATGTGACCCTGATCCTGCCCCAGTACAAGGAGATGGGGGTCCAGCCTAAAGGGAGTGAGCTTGTCTTGCCCGTAAACCCTTCAGGAACTGCTCTGCTGACAGTCAGTCTCATCAGCAGAGACTTCAACAAGCTTCACTGGAAGAAGACATCTGTTTAACAAAACCTCATCTGACTGTAATTCTCATTTTCACCCAATTTTTGCATCTAGTTCTAGATTTTTGGAACATCCCAGGCATTTGAACTCTGATCAACCATATGCCTCACCTTTACGTTACTGAAATTAAAACGTTTAAGCAGAAAGTTTGACATTAAGGGCAATTTCAGGGGTCTTTTCAGATCTGCATTTCAGATTAACAGTTCACTACATTTTTTAATTGTTATGGGAACAAGATTACTTAATATCTGATTTAAACTTTTCTAGAAGCAGTAAAAGCTTTGAAATTGCCCTTTATAAAAGCATGGTTCTGTTTTATAAGCAGAAATCTACTGAAATGAAGGCTAAAATGTTATACTGAATTGAATCCAGGGACTTTTTTTTTTTTTTTTTTAAATAAAGGGGTCTCTGATACTTTCAAAAAACAAATGT